AACTTTAATGAATGGAAAAGCATTTGTTAAAGGAAGTTTACAGGGCCCTGTGGCGTGGCCTAGCAGCTAAAGTACTCACCTTGAATGCGTCAGGATCCTATATGGGTGCTGGTTCTAATCCCGGTGGCCCTGCTTCCCATCCAGCTCCCTGCCTGTGGCCTGGGAAAGCAGTTGAGGATGGCCCAAAGCCTTGGGACCCTGCACCCATGTGGGAGACATAGAGGAAGCTCCTGGCTCCTGGCTTCGGATTGGCTCAGCTCCAGCTGTTGTGCTCACTTGGGGAGTGAATCATCGGATGGAAGATCTTCTTCTCTGTCTCTCCTCCTCTCTGTATATCTGACTTTCCAATAAAAATAAATACATCTTTAATTTGAGTGACAGAGTGATGGAGAAAGGAAAGCCAGAATGTGTGTTCCTGTGCTGGTTCCCTCTTGGTTGGCTTTAACAGCCAGGCCTGGTCCAGGCTGAAGCCAGGAGGTTGGGCCTGTCTCCTGCACTCCCACTTCCAGGACCTGAGCAGTCTTTCACTGCCTATGCAAGCACAGCAGCACAAGGCTGGGTCTGAATCTGAGTACCTGGGACTTGAACGCTGTATGTACTGTGGTATAGAATGCCAGTGCAGCGCACAGTGGCTTATCCTGCTGCAATTCTATCCCTTCAGTGTTATTTTTTATTTCTCAGGTATATATAAGTTCTAGAAGTAGCTCTTTACTTGAAAATGAAATCTTGTTATTTTAAAGATTTATTTTTATTATTTCTTTTATTGGAAAGGTGGATATACAGAGAGGAGAGACAGAGAGGAAGATCTTCCGTCCGATGATTCACTCCTCAAGTGAGCACAACGGCCGATGCTGTGCCGATCTGAAGCCAGGAGCCTCTTCCGGGTCTCCCACGCGAGTGCAGGGTCCCAAGGCTTTGGGCCGTCTTCGACTGCTTTCCCGGGCCACGGGCAGGGAGCTGGAAGGGAAGCGGGGCTGCCGGGATAGAACCGGCGCCCATATGGGATTCCAGGGCGTGCAAGGCGAGGACCTTAACCACTGCGCCACTGCGCCGGGCCCAAAAATCTTGTTATTTTAAAAGAATCTTTTTTCACATGTAGCTATATATATGTAGTTATGTAGTCTTATGGAGATTATAGTTCCTAAAAAGAAAAGATTTTTTGGTAAGATTTCTCATTTTAAAGGTATAGTTAGAGAGAGGGGAGATGGAATGATAGGTGGGGGCAGAGAAAGAAAGTGAGCAAGAGACATCTTGTGTCTGCTGGTTGACTCTCTAAATAGCTGCAATAGCCAGAGCGGTCCAGGCCACTCTGGTCCAGCAGCCAGCAACCAGTGTCTGTATGGCATGCTGGCACTGAGCTCTACCTGCTCACACCAAGGAAGGAACTTTGGCAGAGTTCTTTCTTGCACAGTGAGAGCAAATAAGCTCCATGAGGGAGATTATCATGTCTGCCTTACTGTCCTACACGTCTAACATCTGGCACTTAAGGAGTGCAGCAAATATTTGTATGGAAATTTATTGCATTTATGTTGTTTAGTCTATTTTTGATGTGAAATACGTAAACCTCGACAAAAGTTGAGTAAAGGGAGACTTTTTGCTGTTGCTTCAGAATGACTTTAGAATGAAGAGAGCAGTAACTACATTCACCGCTGGTTGGGCAAACAGTGGACGGACAGGTGCACTTAGTCACCATCGCTGTGCTCTCAGAGCGAAGTAGGAGAGACACTAAGAGGCGGGTGACAAGCACGAACTCATGTCCTAAAGTGACTCGCGTCTGCATAAGAGAGGTGACCAGTTGAACTGGTGAACTGTTTTTGAAGAGCTATAGTTTCATTAGTTTGAACCAAGTGAAAGAATTAGGTTAATAATTTTGAAATAAATAGGTAATAACTGATGGGTATATCAAAACATAAGCTAAAGTAATTAGTTCTAGATCAAATCACAGTATGGTGTTTACACTTAAAATGCTTAGCTGTGTTTTTCCTCAGCAAATATTTTGTTCCGTAAATATGTTTGTCTCTTATGTACAATTGCTTATCAAATTGATTCCCATGTATAACAAAGGAAAGTCTGACACTTTGGATTTCATTTATAGCACAAGCTGATTACTTAAGTGCTAGAGAAGACATGAAGGCAAGATAGAAATACGAAGGAATGGGGACGTTGTGCTGGAGTAGAGGGCATCCAGGGAGAAGGTCGGAGGAAATGGAAAGGTGCTGGGTGCTGGGATGGATGGCGGTGAGAAGGGAGGCTGGGAGGCCTTGCCGTCCCTCCTGCAGCCCACCTTCTCAGCAGGGAGCCCTCATCAGAGAGGTCCCATTCACAGAGGTGCTGGACAGATGCTCAGCCCAGAGAGCCAGGGTGCAGCAAGAGGTGGGTGACTTCAGGAATGCCCTGCCGCTGCCAGGCAGAACACACTGGTGAGACCTGGAGACACCAGCGTGTGGCACTGCTCCAGGCCACGCACCAGGGACAGGAGCCAGGAGTGTCCTGTTCTGTCAGAGCCCTGCAGCCCTCTAGCTCGGAGTCTTGCTCCATACTCAACAGCGAATTTGTGGGTTCTAATCAAATTAGGGAAGGCTACGGCACGGCATCCATGTCAGATCTTCACAGTTCTTCAATCCATGTGCAGCCAGCCAGCCAGGGGTCATTTCAGTCACATGCACTGTTGCCTAGCAATGTAGTTATCAAGTTGCCAGGGCAACAGTGCTGGTTAGTTAAGGGAAGGTCAGATTCTTATGCAGAGGGAAAGGTCTGGCTAGCCCTTGGCCCACAGCTTTATTATTTTTTGAATGCTACTTCTAAAGGAGTGTAGGGCTTTCTCTCACAGAAGTGCACCTCACTTTTCCTTCCTCAGTTGCGGACAGAAATAGTAAGTGGAAACGATTTAGATAGAAACAAATTCAAGTCCCTTGAAAAAACACTAAGGTGCCCTCTGGGGATGCATATGGCAAACTCATCGTCCCACCTTCCTCCCCACGTTGGTCACTGAGGAGCAACACCAGCTCCACCTGGAAATGTTAGCAGTGCAGGTTTTCAGACTTAGTGACGATTGTGATGGAAACCGATGTGTGTTAGTCCTGGACTTGGGGATCCAGACTTATGTGAAAAGCTTACTCCCGAGGGTTCTCTGTTTAGCAGGAAGACCCATGTGTGAAAATAAAACGTTGTCACATGATGTGGTCAGGTGGTAAACGGAAGTATGGGCAAAATGTGAAGGAAGTGCAAATGGTTCAAATCGAAGACAGTGACTTCAGCCTTGGAAGTAACAAACAAGGAGAGTCCTGGAGCAGAAATGACACGTCCAAGGTAGCCAAGTACTGTGCTGAGTTTTGGCCTAATTGGTTGTAGGGGGGTGGGCTAGGTGTGTATTCAGTTCCAGACAGCTGACTTTTCCCTGGGCTTGGGGAGCAGGCTTGGTGAATGTTCTTGATGGTTCCTAGCTATGAAGGTAACTTGGTTTCTGTAAAATTGTGTTTACTTATTTAGATTTAATAAGGTGTGCTTTGAGAGGCTGCAATGCTTCCATTTATTATTTTGAAAAATTAGTCTGACAAATTCAGCAATAAGTCTGTTAGAGATAAAGTATTTTTGTGAAGTATTTAAAAAGGGCAACTTGCATAAATTGGTTTAAGTGGCTTTGTGATACTACTAAGGAACTTTAGTCTTACTGAGGTTTTGTATTATTATAAAAAAAAATCGCCCATGTGGACTGAAGTTACACTAGGTGTAGTTATGAATTCTGTGTAACAGTCAATGATGAGTGAGGTACATTGTGAAGACATGGCATAATGGGTGATGGTTCATCTGCCGAAGATTAGAAGTCGGTCTTTTAGGTAAAATGTTGCTGTGGCAGCACAGGATGCTATCATGTTAGTGTTTGTGGAATATTTGCTCAGGGCGCGTGTAAGTGGTGTTATCACAATTGAAGTGGAGTTCTTCCCCATACATTGGGATAGTATTATATTAGACAAACAGCAGTTTTTACTTGATTTTTCTATTCTTTTTCTATTTTTTGGATTTGTACTTCAAAAAAAATTTTTTTTTACTTGAATGTCAGAGTTACAAAAAGAGAGAGGGAGAGACAGAAGGAGGGAGAGCTTCTGTCTGCTGGTTCAGTCCCCAAATGGCTGCAGTGTTCTGTGCTGGCCTGCTGGGAAGCTGGGAGCCAGGAACTTCTGGGTCTCCCACATGGGTGCAGTGGCACACAGATCTGTGACCTCCTTTGCTGCTTTCTTAGGCCATTAGAAGGGAGCTGGGTTAAAAGTGGTGCGGCTGGGACTTGAACTGGTGCTTATAGGGGGTGCCGACGCTGCAGGCAGAGGACTAGTCTGATAAACTGTCAGCCCCAGTTTATACTTGTAAGAAACTTAAAAAAATCAGAATCAGAGGTTTTTAGAATTTATACCTCAGTGTGATCATCCTTTTCCTGAATGAAAAATCTTTTTTTTTAGATGCTTATTTTAATTTCTTTTTGTTTATTTGAGAGATAGGGAGAATGTGAGTGAGTAAGTGTACCACACCTGCTGATTTATTTTCCAAATGCTCACAACAACTGGGGCTGGGCCAGGGCTGAAGTTGGGACCCTGGAACTGCATTCAGGTCTCCCCCATGGGTGGCACATGCCCATGTCCCTGGGCTGCATTCCCACTGCCTTCCCAGGTGCATTATCAGGGAGCTGGTTCTCAAGTGAAGAAATGGGACTGGGCTGGCAGCCAGCTGGGATGGCAGCACTGCAGGTGCGGTAGGGTTGCTATTGCGTCATAATGCTACCCCCAGGATGGGGGTTTGGAACAGCCTCACGGCAAGTCGGAAGGGAGTGTTACACTGGGCGGGAATGATCACGTGCAGGCTCTAGATGTCTTCTGTGAGTGACAGGAGCCCAGTTACTCTCCAGTCGTCGCCTCTGCCTCCCAAGGTCTGCATTTGTGGAAAGGAAGAGCCAGGATTTGAACCCGTGTTCTCTGATGGAGAATGTGGGCTCCCTCCTCCTCAGGTGAATGCCTGCCACAAGCAGCCTGTCTCCTAGCTGACCTTCATTTGCCTCTCAGCACTGTGAGTCACTGGGTTGTTCTGTTGTGTTTACTCTTGCATTTCCTCAGAGGAAGCGTAGTGTGGGCACAGCAATCAAAGGTCACTGAAAGCTGGTGTTTTGATTGTCCTTGAGCCGAGTCACTTGTCCACCCAGGTTCAGTGGGGAAGTGGGATGGGGTCCTGTAGTGCAGCACACTTCCAGCTCTGCCTGAGGGAGCGTGTCAGTAGAGCGTGTCAGTAACCACGAGACTCACAGTGTGTTGCAGGCGTCGGTAGCTATAACAGGTGTTTGAGCCAATTTATCTGAACTTTGTAGTTTATGAACATAAACATTTTCCATCTCAGGCTATGACTGCACATCATTAAATACGAGGAAAAGTGTTGACGGTGGTCAGTTGTGTGGTAGTAAGTATGCTGGTGCAAGTCCCTCTTCATATAGCATTGACTTGTGTACAGATGTAGTGATATGTCAGTCTGTGGCAAAACTTTTATTTCCATAATGTCTGGGTCTTTGCCTTCAGCTTTTATATTAAAAACACTCACTCCCAGTGTAGTAGTTAGAATAGCTAAATATCTGTGTTTATTTGTGATTCCTTGGGAAGAACACAGGGAGTGCTCACTGTTTCCCTAGGATGAGATGACCCCAGTTGGGAGGACTGAAGGGGGAGGCAGACTCTGCTATCCAGTCTATATGTTTTTCCTAAGTGCAGCAGTTATTTAAATCATAGTGAAACACCAGCTAAGCAAAATGAAAACGGAGTAGGCAGGAGCAAAAGGAAGTTCAATGAGTAAGGCGGAAACACTGGGTGTATATTTCTAGACAAGGGCAATCCTGTCCAGCTCTCTTTGGGATTTTGTATACAGTTGGAAAGCTTCTGTATTGACTGATGGTAGAGTTTAATTACAGTTTTTTTCTAAATGGTAATTACATTCCAAGATTTTATTATCCTATTGCTCCTCCAACTTCAGATTGCGTAGAATTGGTAGGCTTGTGTTTGACTTGTGCTTGCTCTAGAATGCAACAGTGGTTTTTAAGTCTCTAAGTGGACCATGGTGACATTAACATTTTCCCACTAGGGGTAACTGAGACCTTTTCATTATACTTTGATTTATATGCATAGTAAATAATTTTCTTGAATCTTTTCCCAAATTCTCATGTCTGAAGTCTGATTAAATGTTGTCTTGATTTTTTTTTTGAAAAGAAGGTGGTCTTGACAAAACTTCTTGATATGTTCAAGTAGGAGTATGTATCACTGTATTTAAAAAATTTGTAATTTTTTCCCCCTTTTTACTCTTCAGCCGACCTCAGAAAGTGTGTTTGTGTCCATTTCTACCAGTTCACCCTCTCCACATCTCTACTCACTTGTACATAATTCAGCATCCTGCAGAGGTAAGATTTTGTAATTACCAGATAAAAGTCCTCATCTCCCCTGCTCTTAATTCTTGCTGAAAACGCATTTCTTAGAGGATTTATTTATTTGAAAGAGTGACAGAGAGAAAAGGTACAGGGAGGGTAGGACAAAGAGATAAAACCTTCCATCCTGCATCTGTGGGTTCCCTTCCAAAATGTCCAAATAGCAGAAGCCAGGTGAAGCTGGAGCCAGCAGCTAGGACCGCCCTCTGGCCTCCCGAGTGCGTGAGCCACCATCTGCTGCTTCACTTCGAGACACGTTTGCAGGGAGCTGGATTGGAAGTTGAGTAGCAAAGGTACGAACTAGCATGTAATGTTGGCATTTCATATGGTGGCTAAACCTGCTACAGTGCCTGCTCCTGGAAATACATTTTTTGCCTTTGGGGGAAAAATTTTCTTTCATATTTTAAGCATATGTTTTAAGGAAAGATATTTCTTTTATAGAAAGCTAAAATTATAATAATCTTGGATAAAGGAAATAAGAATTTTTGTGAATAAGCAGCTAAGAAAATAAATAGCTGTGAATAAGCAGTTTTTTTGAATTTGGTCCTAGGCTGTATTTCCTTCTTGCTAAAGTAGAAATAACTCTGGCACTTCAGTCTTACAAAGTCATTGTACAGATAAAATTCTGATTGCCTTTAGGTGAATAGAAGAAACATGTATATTTTATAATAAATGCTATTTACATAAAAGGGGCTTTATTACAAAATTTTAAATTTTTATTGGAAAGACAGATGAGATTTATGGAGAGAAGAGAGATGGAAAGAAAGATCTTCCACGTGTCAGTTCACTCCCCAAGTGGCTGCAACGGCTGGAGCCAGGAGCTTCTTTGGGGTCTCCCATGTGTGTGCAGGATCCCGAGGCTTTGGGTTATGTTTTGCTGTTTTCCCAGGCAACTAGCAAGTAGCTAGAAGGGAAGTGGAGCAGTTGGGACATGAACCAGCACCCGTCTGAGATCCTGGCACTTACAAAGTGAGGATTTAGCCATTGAGCCATTGTGCCGGACGCATAAAAGGACTCCTTAATATTTTCTGACTCTGGTTAGAGTTGTACATGGGCTCGTGTGTGTGAATGCAGTAGCAGAGTGGGGGTAGAGTGCAGAAAAGCAGGTATGGCTCATACCAGATGAGTCATTGCATGCTGTTAAGAGGTTTTATTGTAAACTGAGTTAAAACTCGTCCAGTGTTCAGGAACTCAGGATATCATATCCATTCAGGCTTATGAAAAAGGAATAGTCATTTTTTTTAAAGATTTATTTTTATTTTTTACTGGAAAGTCAGATATACAGAGAGGAGGAGAGACAGAGAGGAAGATCTTCCATCTGTTGATTTACTCCCCAAGTGGCCACAATGGCCGGTGTTGCGCCGATCCAAAGCCAGGAGCCAGAAACTTCTTCAGGTTTCCCAGATGGGTGCAGGGTTGCATGGCTTTGGGTGATCCTTCACTGTTTTCGTAGGCTACAAGCAGGGAGCTGGATGGGAAATGGAGCAGCTGGGACATGACCCCATCCCCATGTTGGATCCTGGTGCTTGTGGGTGAAGGATTAGCCTGCTGAGCCATCACACTGGCCTCCACTTCCTTTATTTCTAAGCATATACATCTGGGCAGTTATGTTCAAACTGACATAGTACAAAATATAGTTACTGTTGAACTAAAAAGCTTATCAGAAGTAAGTAATTTAGTTAAACACAGGTACATTTTAAATAGTCGTAGGCATTGTATAAATTGCTGTTTGATCACTAAAATACCTGAAAAGAATGAAAAGCTATACTGCAGGATGCTTACTAGGAATAAATTGAGAAAATTTACCTTCATTTGAAGGTTAAACTGTGGTCTTTACTGAAAGGTTAGTGGAAGTTACATATGAAGTGATGAATCAGATGTTGATCATTGAGGTTTTTTAAGAATATATTTCAATAAGAATCTGTGTTCTAATTGAAAGGAAAGCAAAGTGTTGCGGACGGTTCCTCTGCTGGCAGCGTGCCTCCCTAAGGACAAGTGTAAAGTCCAAGTCGGCCGTCGCTTCAGCGAGGACAGGTAAATCTGCTGGTAGGGCAATTGGAAACAGTTATGCAGAGGGGACTTTTGGTGGAGAGCAGTCCTGAAGGTTGGGAAGCTTTGAGTATGGTGGCAGAAATGTGCCTTGTCCAATAAGTTACATGATATCGCAGAGGGAAAATGTTACTAGGAAATTTGGTGATGAAATTAATTTCTTTTGGCCCCCACAAGCTAATGAAGATACATGTAAAAATGTTTATTTTTAGAGATCCTGAACTTTCTGCTGTTTGTCGGAGGTCTGGTACGTTAGTGTTGTATCCAGGGGCGGAAGCTACTGATTTGGAAGAGTTTATGTTAGACTGTCCTGTTTATCCGTCCACAATCATCATCATTGATGGTACATGGAGCCAGGCGAAGGATATTTTCTATAAGAATTCCTTGTTCCGTCTTCCCAAACAGGTAAACCAATATTTTAATAGATAGTACAAATTTGTGATTATGTATATTGTTTCTGTTTTCTGAGAAGGGCTATACATATTCTTTTTTCTATGTAAATTGGATAATGTTTGTGTGAGCATGTGTCTGAGCTAGCTTGTGTGTGCTTATATTTACATTCATGTAATTAGAAAAGTTTAGATTTGTCATTTCTCTTTAATTCCTGGTATCAAGCTTTGCTATATATTGGCTTTATTGAAACTCCTTAACATTTAATCTGAGAAGTCTTTCTATGTGTATGAGTGTTTTTTGTTAAGCATTAAAGTTTTAAATGTTTTTATTTGATTACTCAATTATTAATTCTTAGTAGGACTGACATGATATATTTTTTTGTCATTCCTAATTATAACACTGTGATTTGGCTTTCAGCTTTTTGATGTGCTTAGTTGTGATGACTGGCTTTTCATTACTGAACCCTCTGGTGTCCCTGGAGTGAATTCTGCTGAGTCGACAGTCAAAACTTTGATAAATTGCTGAAGCTTACACTTTATTTAATGATGTTGAATTTTAATATTTTTCTTGTATTTTTTTGAGTAGGTTTGGGTCCTGAATTAACACAAATTTTGAAGATTAATTGGAGCAGTTTAAATATTTTTTTCCTGTGGCCTGAAGTAATTTTTTAAGTATTAGAATTTCTTGTTACGTAAAAATTAGATGGAACGCATTGGTGAAAGCACTTGGTTCCAATCACTTAAGAAAAGGTAGCGTTAAATCCTTTAAAATGCTTCTGTGGAAATCCGTGAAGATTTCCACTTACGTTTGGGTCAGTTTTAGTAACTTTTATATTTCTCTAGGGAATTCTGTTTTTTCCTCTAAGTAAACAGATTGGTTGCCATTACATATGCACATTTTGAAATCCTGAGTTTCACCCAGATGTGTTCTTTTTTGTTTCTAATCCTAGATACATACACACATATACTTCCTTTACTGAGCTTTTTAAATGGCTATTACACCCAGCCTGTTGTAGCCACTGTTCTGCACCATAACTCGGGAGGTGAACTTTTTAGAATCTGTATATGTGATGTAATATGGTATAGATATGTGCCCAATTTCCCTTAATATATTACCTCCAGATTCTCTGATGTTGTTGCAGATGATAGGATTTCATATTTTAATGCCTGCGTATGCTCCGTTGTGCATATATAAATTTTTTTTGTCCATTTGTCAGTTGGTGGGTACTTGGATTGTATCCGTATTTGACTGTTGTGAGTGTTGCTGTAGTGAACATAGATGTCAGATGATTTTCCAACCTGTTTCCTTTGAATACGTACCCAGTGGAAGTGCTGGAGCATATGTTAGTTCTGTTTTTAATTTTGAGAAAACTTCGTTTTGCTCTTCTTAGTGGTTATACCAACTTACATTTGCAGTAGCCGTATGTTTCCTTATTTTGACATCCATGCCGACATTTGTGGTTTCTGAGTTTTGAAGTGACCTCTGACTGTTTTGATTTCCGTTTCCCTTATAATTTTTCATGTGGAGATTCTTTTTTCATGGGCTGATAACCTGTTGTATGTCTTGTTTTGAGAAATGTCTTTTCAAAAATCAAGGTACTTGTGTTTTTTAGCTAAAATATGTTTTTTGTGTGTTCTTGATGTGAACTATTTTTTGTCATAATTGGCAAATACTCTATATTTTTTTGGAAGTTGTCTTTTCACTTTGTTGCTTTTTTGATGTGTAGAAGGTTTCAAGTTTATTTATAAAATCTTCACCTAGACCAATGACGTGATGTTTTTGTCTAGAGGTTTTAAACTTTCGGTTCTTACGCCTGAAGTCTTTGCTCTGTATTTGGTTGATTTTCATGTGTGTTGAGAGATAGGGTCTATTTAACTCTTTTGCATGTGGGTAACTAGTGTTTTTGAAAAGAACTTACTGAATTGATTGTTCTATTCACACTTAATCAGTTTTTTGTGACCTTATATTTTATTTTTGTTTCTCTGTGACTTTGATTTGTTTTTTAATTTTTTTTGAAGATTTATTTATTTTTATTGGAAAGTCAGATATACAGAGAGGAGGAGAGACAGAGAGGAAGATGTTGCGTCTGATAATTCACTCCCCAAGTGAGCGCAACGGCTGGTGCTATGCCGATCTGAAGCCGAGATCCAGGAACTTCTTCCAGGTATCCCACATGGGTGTAGGGTCCCAAGGCTTTGGGCCATCCTCAACTGCTTTCCCAGGCCACAAGCAGGGAGCTGGATGGGAAGTGGAGTTGCCGGGGTTAGAACCGGCGCCCATATGGGATCCTGGGGTGCGTTCAAGGTGAGGACTTTAGCCACTAGGCCACGCCGCAGAGCCCTTCTCTGTGACTTTGTAAGATTTGTGCTGTAATAACGTCTGTGGATTGGGTTAGATCCTCCCCTTACTCCCACGCTGGACTCTGACCCTCAAGTGCACAGGGTGTTGATATTTAGAGATGGGACCTCGAGAGCGGAGCTCTTATGATGGTATTAGTGCCTGTCCTAGAGGCTTGCTGCTGTGTGTTTGAATGGGCTCCCTGACCTTGCTTTTTCCTTTTCTTAGTAAGCTGGACACTCTTACCAGAACACTATCCATGCTGGTATCCTTGTTGTAGACTTCTGACCCTTTAGAACTGGGGAAGTTAATATGTTTGCTAAGCCTGTGGATCCGTGCTCATTTATTATAATGGCAGAGCCAAGACAGGTACTGATTTCCACTGTTAAAATTAGTGAGTTCTTTGTTTAATGATAGATACAGGGAAGGAATTTGGTCATCTTTCTTCTTGGTATGGTTTCTTTATATCCTTTCATTCTGGGATGAGGTTTTAGAATGCCTGTGGTATTGCTATGACTTTATAAGTATCATGATTTATTTCTATCCATGAATTATCCTTTTTAAGTTCTCAGATGTAACATTTTTGGTTACTGTTTTGTTTTTCTGATTTTACTGAGTGGTAACGAGAGCATTGATTAATATTTTGAATAAAGTTATGAATGGCTAGCCTATGAATACATTTTAGGTATATAAACATTTTTAGGTTTTTAGGTATATAAACATTTAAACTGTTATTATTAGGCTTATTAATTGCATTTCCTTTTGTGCTTATTTTTCCCTTTTTTAATTTTTATTTTTCATGATAGTTCCATAGGTGCAAGAATTTCCATTCTACCCTCTGCATTCTCCCTATTCTCCACTGTTTTCCACTATGCTATTACAGTAGGACAGTCCTTCAGCAACAATCACAAGTCCATCATTTTCTGTTTAAGTGTATCATGACATTGTAGGTATAGAGACATACTGTGCTGTATCTTCCTTTCTCAGTGAGCTAGTCTCCATTATACCATTCCTCTAGATGAATATGTTGTATACATGTTTACATATATACCTATTGATCTTGTATTTTGCATAAAGATTGCTGTGTATCATATGGTATTTGTTCTTTTGGGACTGGCTTATTTCACTGAGCATAGTGGTCTCTAGTTGGGACCATGTTGTTGCAAATGATAGAGCTTCATTCTTTTTAAAGGCTGGGTAGTATTCCATAGAGGAGATGTAGCACAGTTTCTTTATCCATTCCTCCTTCAATGGGCGTTTGGGTTGTTTCCATGTCTTTGCTATTGTAGATTGCAAAATAAATATGGGATTATAGATCATGTTTTCATATGCAGATTTCGTATCTATTGGATCGATTCCCAGAAGTGGGATAGCTGGGTTATATGGTAGATCAGTTTTCAGTTGTCTTATCTGTGCTGACTTTATTTTAGCTGAAATTATTTTATTTTGACAATCTTTACATAGTTGATTAGGGCACAAAGGGTCAGTGGCTACAGGAGAGTGCATAAGGCCATTGTTTCCACGTTATTATTATTGTTATTATTTTTTTCTATATCTGGGGTAAGGGAAAAGAAAGAGGGAGAAGTCCCATCCAGCCTCCCACCCATCCCAGGTCCCTGATGTGGGGCATGCTCCGAGGGTCCTGCTGAAGTGGTTTTGATAGTTCAACAGTTCTGAATTGCTGTCAGTCTCGCCATTCCAAGCACATTGAAATGTCTCCAGAATCCACTGGCTGACATAGTTCACCTTAGAGTGTCCGTTTGCCCAGATTTTCACTGCCATCTGTGCTTACTTTTGTTCCCTGGACTATTAGACACTGGAGGCAGTGTATGAGAAACATCAGTTCGCTGTGTGTCAGTGGTTGCCTGCTCTACCTTCGTTGTACGTTCAAGTTAATAAACCAAATGAATACTGATTTTCTGGTAGCAAAAAGTAAAAATCTGGAAAGAAAACTTAAATCAGTTTTTACCCCAAATTATAAATTATTTACTCTGTTAATTGGGGTTTTATTCGAAGTGCAATTTTCTTTGCCAGACCCTCCTCAGCATCCCTGATACATTGCATAGGCTTGGCTTTAGCTGTTGTTGTTAATTGATCAATTCACTTTCTGTAGTCGTGTAAAAGTTTTTGCTTCAAATATGTGGGACAAAAAAAATCTCAGAAAGGAAACAGATTGTTGTTTTTCCTCCTAATAAGGAAGTAACTGCATGTGCTTGCTTATATAGTCGAGGGATGATAGAGTTGTAAATTAAACGCTCTACAATTTGGCCTTCTCTGAATCTGGAATTCTAATCTGTCCAGACCATTTGGCAGTGAATCTCTTCCTTCGGAGAATTCTGTGTGTAAGACCCTGACATTTGCTAGGAGTAAGTCCAAGGTGAATTTGGAAGAGTTTATAGAGGCTCCTGGCTTTCTTCATAAGCATATTTCCTTGGAGTATTTTCATATCTTTCCTCTGCCGTTTTTAAAATGTCCTCTAAAGCTGCATTTCTCACTTGATAAGCACAGGACTTTTGTGAACACTCACTGGCTGAGGTATTTTGTTTTATTTTATTTTTAACATTGTTTACATAGTTGAGAGGAATGCATGCACATATGGGCCTCCGATCAGGGTGGGTAGGGTCAGGTATGGAAGAAGGTGGGTGGGACCATTTCAGTCTGCAAAGGAGAAGAGA